GTTTTGACTTTGGCTCATTCCCCAGCATCAGATTCTTTCCTTCCCCTGATGCTCATGGATAAAATTATGAAGCCAAAAGCTACCTGAAAGGACACGATGCTCTTTCAAGACACCACTCATAGATCAATGTGTCTTCAAGCCTTTAGGAGAAAACCCTCAGCAGAGCAATCCCAAGGATAGTCTCTTGAATCTGTCACCTCTCACAAAGAATTAAAAAAAGGGAGCAGAGCTCTCAAAAATAACCTCACATGGATAATGCCTACATTTTTTCATCTTTTCTCTCCTACATCAGGTTAAGTAGTACCTGACACATCTATAGCTATAAAACAGGTTTCTCCCCCTTTGGCTGTGATTTATGTGGTTTCCTTTGTTTTACTAGAACAAAGATTTTTAAAGCCTCAGTTTCAGCTGGCATAAGGTATTTCCAGCAATTCTGCCATTAAAAATGTATTCTAAGCAAGTTACTCTAAAGCCCTTAAGACACTGATGCAAAAAAGCAATGCATTCTTAAACAGAGTTAGCTAAGGGCTGATCTAGGCTTCAAAATTAATTCCAGGAGCACTGATGGAAAAAAGCCAAACACAAAAAGCAGTGAAGGTCAGCTGAGCAAGGAAGATGAAGGGTCTTTCCTGCAAAGGACCTTCCAGTAAAGCAATTGGGCACTTGATACAAGACGGCCGGAGGAGAAAAGGGTGGAGGAAGAGAGGAAGAAATGGTAAAGATGGAATGAAATCTGCAGAAGTGGCATCCAGAACCTGAACAGCCTAGCTTGCTGGTGAGGAGTCGAGCCTGAAAAAGAAGAGCTTGTAACAGAATGAGAATATACTGCGCCAGGGCTGGGAGAGGGGTATCTCAAGCTAAATTACTTCAGTTTATGCACAGGATAGGGCAAAGGGCAGAAGAGCACAGAATAAGGCCAAGGGAAAGCAGGAAAGTAAGCCTGGGTACTGCATTAGACACAAACATGCTGGTAGCAAAGGATCTCGTTAAGCAACTTCCAGAGCAACGCAGATAGATGCCTTGCCCTTATTCTTACTGCTAATGTATTTGTGGAAGGATAAGAAATTGAGCATAACTAAAGTACTTCCACTCATTCAAGAGCAGCACTGGTAAGACTCCACTCAGAGGTCCTTCTGTGCTCCCCAAAGGTACATTTGCTCCCCTATTTTATTCAATACTAGGTTGACTGAATGACAGGCTTCAGCACTGAAATGCCAGTTTAAGTGCTTACAGATGTCCACTGCCCACAGAGTCAGCCAGGAAGGTTTATGACATGAATATGTCTGTGGCCATTTAATAACGTTCCAAATGGGTATTTGGAACTACAAATACAGAACACAAGCTTTACATGAGTGCTAGTAACAGAGTATTTTTCATAAACATCAAGCTCTTCTCAAACTGTGAGGTTCAGTACTACTCATATATTAATGTCTCATTTAGATTAGCCAATGACTACACCAAGATTTATTTCAATTAATTAATTCAGTTCATTATACCAATGCCCAGATACTTAATTGCTTCTGTTGCCAGCTGGAGATCCTCAGAGTTTAAGTTATTGCTTAGAACGGATAAATTTCATTAGCCTTCTAAGCTCAGTTACTTGCATTGCTGAAGTATTCTTCATCACAGTGGAACAGAGCAGCATTAGCTTCTCCTGTCATGTAATTATTTCTATGAAATATATTCCACCAAAAACAGGCAGCAGGAGCTCCAGAGGACAGCAAAGGCAACAAGACCAACACTCACCTGCAACAGATGGCTATGCAGAAGGCCACGCACAGATGCAGATCAAACATGAAGATCCCACCAACCCACCTCCCATCTTAGGAAGACAGAAAATAAGTCCTTCCTGTCTTGCATCATACAACCACTGGGGCTTTTTATATCTACCTTTCCAATCCTTGACTTCTCCTCTACCTTTGTGTGGGCTTTCTTGCCTCAGCACTGACTTCTGATGTTGCTGAAGTGTATCGTACAGAATCAATCTGAAATACACTTGGTTTGGGCTACACATGACAGAAGCCACCTGAGAAGTCCTGTCTTTCTTGATGCTAAGTAGTGGAAAAGCTAAGTTCACCACCATATTAATCCCTTTCAGCAAGGTTCACCATCATCAGAAGTATTGGAAATCTGTTCTGAAATAGCAAGTTTGGAGGTTTTTTAAGTACTGATGAGTGATGCAGTGCTGCTCCCAACATGGCAGTAGAGAAGAGTTGGGGCATTTACATAAGGCTTTATGCAAATGACAAAAACCCCACAAGTCAGATATTCTTTTCATTACTGCTCTTCCTCTAACACTGCATCATCATCTACTTACCTAGCCTAAAAAGCATAAGATTTTTCAACTGCTTCTTGATTCAGCCTATTACATCTTTAATGCCTTCACTGTAATGAATAATATTTATAAGAACACAAGAAGGGGAAGACAACACTCACCTTAAAAGAAAACTTCACTGTCAGCCTGCAGGAGAGCATCCCTTACTGCATTCCCTACTCAGAGGGCAATGAAGTGCCTCGACTCATTAACAAACCACCCAAGGTTAAGCAGAATATTAGCAGGCACACACTCCTCAGAGTCATTTGCCATCAAAGGGACAGTAAATCAAAGGGAGAGTAATTCTCTGTGATGCTAAAAGAGCCACACGTCGGGACTGCTGGACCCCTCAGAGACTAACTGTGCAGGACAGGAGTTCCATATCACAGCAAAAGCACAGCTGTTCCACTAACCAAAGGCAAACAAGCATCATAAGTCATCCCTATGACAGACTAACTGCACCAACAGAAATGGTTATGCAAAGGACCTCCCAAATCTTGCTTCCCACTTAAATACCACTGCAACATTTAATAAATCAAAATTGCTTATTACTAAGTGTAAATATTCAGATGCACATGGACATTTCTCTCTGTAGTCTATAAATTATATTTTCAATGACACTTGGCTTATTTGATCCCTGTGCTACAGGTATTATATATTTACCTTTTACAACTAATTCATTATACTTACTGCTACTTATTGTAATAACTCAGGATATAGCTACCTGAATAACCCAGGATGTCATTACGAACATTTTGTGATCACCTACACTTATTATTAAACTGTACTAAACACCCAATCTATGTCTTGTGAAAGACAAAGGAAACTTGCAGTTCTTCATCACTCATTTCTTTAAACACAACATTAAAATGCCTATTTGAAAGCCTGTTTAAAACTTCTACAGGTGTCAGTATGAAGTATATTATACATCATATATCAGTTTTGTTCCTCCTCTTATTCAACAGCTGGATGGCAAGTAATTAATTACGTGAATATCATAAGCCTGGATGCACTTCTATGTTACAGTTACTGACATGTGGATTTATTTCACATCTCATATAGGAAAGGAATACTTCAAAGTCTGTACAATTCTATTTAGTGCTTTACAAATTTATAAAAGACAATGGAGACAGAGCAAGGAAAGAAAACAAATAGTAACAGCAAGCCAAATCTCTCCAGATTGACCAAGACTGGGGAGATCACAGACCAGCTACTCCAAAGAGGCTGCCCCTCTCCTGTATCTGATTTCTGTCAGCACTCTCAGCTGAGCAAGGTCAAGCCCAGCCACATTGCCCAGGGGCCTCCAAGGAACAGCCAAGTACTGCAGGAGCCAAAAATCACTCCCTGAAATCACCCCTGACCTAGCATTCCACATACCATTAGCAGCTCTCTGCTGCAGGAAGCACCTTCCTCCTGATAAAAGGCAAAGCTAACAACTGACAATTTGGCTGTTTTCAAGAGCAGGAGTGAATCTGCTGCAGGAGGGAGTTACTAACTCCCTGTCTTTGGGACAGCATTACGTAGGACATGATGTCCTACCTACTTTACAATCATGCTGAAGATATTTTAAGTGGAAAAAACCCTGCTCGCTTTCCTGCCTGAAAAGGGGTATTATCTTAGCCATCCCCGCAGAGGCATTCAGGTCTCGGGGATAAAGAGGCACTATAAAACTGCAGATTATTAGCAAAATGCAGCATAAGAATTCACTGTGCTGGATCATGGTGTTCTTCCTCAGCCTGAGCAACTCCTTTTAGGAGATATCAAAGTTTGACAGCTCTAGGAACACACAGAAATATTATCATCACCTTCCTCCTGTTGCATTAAAACTACAGCCTTCTAGCCACCTCACAGGTGAGGAGAGAGGCAGCAATAAATCACCTAAATATTGCAATGAGAATAAGGTTTTCAGTGGAATATATGGTTTTCAGTGAAGACTTGATTTTCAGACTCCAACTGCAGCCATGAGCTTGAGCAACACTGCTGGTGTCACGCTGCTGCCACGTTTTGAGGGAAGAGAAGGGAGCCCTTGATATACTTCTAAGGTGACACAGGCCCAGGGTCCAGTGAAGGTCACCTCAGACAAGCACAAATATCCCCCTTCTTCCCACAGCTATGGAAACAAGCTTTGAGCCTCATGGCCCATGAGTAGGTATGCTCAGACTCTGGCCCTTAAAAACCACAAAGTCCTGCATGCTGCTACATTACCACCAAAAAATAGACTGTGCCCTTCTGAACAGAACACAAAGAAAACCAGAGTAGGATCCCCTGGCCAAGTGTGTTGTCCCTAACAGCCCTCCCAGAAGCTCTAAGCATGACATTTTCACCGAGCTTGGTCAAGTCAACTGATTTCTCTTTGCACACCACACAGACCCATACAGCATCAGCATGCAAGGGAAAGCTGGGCAGCAAACCCCACCAAGGGCAAACAGCCCATGGGAGGACAGCTACAGAGGAAGACTCTTCAGCCCTGAGCTTTTTCACATCTCTGACTACTCACAGCAGCAAAGCAGCACCCCACAGGGAGTCACCAACAGCCATTCCTTCCCTGCAGCAGAGGCATGACAAGCAGTAACACTTACAAAGTCTCCCACAGATCTTAAACCCATCTGCAGGTACTTACCACAGGACTAATGCAGCATGAGTCCTCGGGCAAAAAAATAAAAAACAAACAAACAAACAATATTACCTCTGCCAAAGGAATCTGGCACTTGCTGTCGCTGCAGCTGTCCCTACGAAAGCCGCCACCACAAGCCTACGCCTGGTCCTGGGGTGATGTGCTGTCCCAAGGTAACGCCGCGAAACAGAAGACAGCCCTGCTGCTACGGGAAGAAATCGAAGGCGAAACATCCTGTCAAGTAAGAACACCACGTTAGTAAAGCAACAAACGGTTTCCAGTCAGGGACTCTTACACTGACCCTGAACCAGAAATTTCCTCACATTTTTTCTGAAATAGGAAAGTTACAGAAAATAACTGTCACAGATGTTTATGAGCTGTTCTGAAATAGGTGTGTAACCTAATAAATACCAAATTATGAGTATCACATACTGGCATACACCTGGCTGACACACCTTGCTATCACATCCCAACTACTTACTCAGCTGCTCTTACAACGTTTTTCAAATTCCTCTTCAGCTTTTCCCCAGCACAATTCGTTAAGAGGAAATATTTGCACTGTCCCACTCAAATGCCAGGGCATGGAAGATGTAGGTAGATCTTACAAGAAACTACAGCGAATAAGAAGCATTGGCTAGAGGGAGAGACACAGCTGGATTTTAAAAGGCAAATTAAACCAAATAACAAACCAACCTACCAAACGAAACCCAACCGTGTTATTTTAAATTTCCCATACGAAAACCCTACTGTTCCTAAATCACTTTTTTAGCTAGCCTGGAGCAAAACATTTATATTCCACTTGAAGTTTAGAGCAAGTTTCAAAGTGTCAAAACTTGTAAAATACAATCCACACCCTGTAACACACACAACAGTACAGAGATAAATGGGAAACCAGAGCTACAAATCTCAACATTATTACAACAGCGAAATCTGAACCACAGAAATGTCACCTCATCACACACCAGCTACAGGAGAAAAAGCAATTTTGCTAGCTCACAAGATTGAAGGTGAAGGATAAATGTTGCCTTTGAAAAAGAAAAGGTGATGCATCTCTTAATGAAATAAAGGTTTCCTTTCTAACTGATGCAAATTCAATTTTCCAATTGCAGGGTCAGCCTTAAAAAAAATTGGCAACAGCATGGTAAAAGAATTCAAGACCAGCAAAAACACTGGAAGTAGAGAGCAGGGAAGCAGTGGCCCAATTTTCTCCTTTTGTTCCCCATTCTTCCTGTTCTAATCAAATATTCCCAACCAGCAAATAACCACAGAACACAAAAATAAAGTTGCATCTGTTGGTTTCTATCTGCTTTTGCAAGACAAGATGTCACCATGCCATTCTGCTAAACCATTAATGAAAATCTAGGGACTGTTTTACACAAACACATCTCACATGTGTGGTGTGTTAGGCCATTTCAGCTATAAAGAGTTGAATACATTACCACCCTTTTCCACCAATTAAAGCAACATGGAGCTCAGGATTTCATCATGCAAACCAGTGATGTGAACTTAGAGTGGGGAAAGAGAGGAAGAGGGAGCAAAGACACATATAAAATATTCAGCAGATAATTCTGAGGCAAGAAGTGGTGGACATAAGCCTGAAGGCTTCTCAGCACAATCAAGAAATAAGTAATGAGGGGAAGGAAAGCATAGATAATGAAAAATCATTAGCAAATCTCTTGTCAGTGATTTTTCATATCATATCTGAGTGTTTCGCACAGTCCTGGGACAAGGGAGATGGGATGGAGCATCAGCAGGTGACATCAGGATGGGATGGAGGGGGCAACACTGCTCTTGCTGGGTAGGACAGAGTTATGGAATGTCTGTTCCTCACCACCCCTGTTTATGGGCAAGTACCACCAACTCCGCTGCTCACAGCTAGTGCATCTGAAGAGCATCCATTTTATATTCATCTGTGCACTATTAAAAACCCAGTTTGCAGCCGGCATTAACATTTTGTTTATTCCTTTAAAAATAAATAAGCTTAAAGTTTTAATGGAATACAGCCAGCCAACAGCGCTTATTCTATCCCAGTTCTGAACAACAGAAGATTTTGTTATGAAAAGCAGCTTGTTTCAAATTTGAAGTTATTTACACCCTACACAAACCTGATGTTTCCATCTCATCTCCAGGGATGAATTTGTTACATATGCAGAGAAAAATCTGAAAGTGTTATTTTCACCAAGAAGCTAATGTTGCCCTTACTTGGGTCCCCTGTCCTAATTACAGCTTTATATGCAAAAGATGTAATGGATAAGGAAAGTGTTGCCAGTATCATTTAATCAGTCAACATGAAAATCAAGCCTCACAGTGCTTACTTTTGAGCTTGAGGAGATTTTTACAAAATTTCAGATTGTTGGCTTTAGTACTGCATAAATGTTTGCTTTGTCTGAGCCCTAAGAAAAACTAAATTATCTGCTTTGTCCAAGTAATCTCCATCCCTGATGGTGCAGGGACATTCATCCAGACAGTGCTCACTTGGTAGCAATTGCCCAAGAGAGCTGGAAGCAGGCGGTTCCCATAATAACCCTAAAATAAAGAGTAACCTTATCTCAGAACAAGAAAAAAGCACTTTGGAAGCTGAATTTTCCATGCTTTCCATCTGCAATTTTACAAACTCTCATGGTTGTTTTTTTTAATTAAATCAAAAGCACCATGATATTTGGTGCGTTCTGTTAAAAGCTCCAGGCATTTAAGTCAAGATCACTTGAGAAAGCTGGTGCATACTTTCTAAAAAATTAAAAATGAGCATCTTGCCCTAACTACAGCAATGAAAAGCTTAACACCACAATCTGCAGTATGATAAGGAATAAAGCTGAGATAAAGTATAAAACTACCAAGAACCGATGTGATTACAGCTTACAATAAGAAACCACCTCAAACCTTGCATGATTTAATGCAATAAATGATTTTAAATGGGATGAAACTAGGTAGTTCAGAGGAAAAAAACCCTCCAAAATACTGAAAATAAAGATAAAGCAGTTACCATGATGTTCTAGCATTACTGCTACAAGGAATCTGCAGATCATAATTTTGTTTCTAAGAGATAAGCCAGTCCTATCTTAAGTGCTTGCTCAGAACAGCTCTACAGTTACTTCCAAAGATCAAATTAATATCCTTGGATAAAAGAAAGGGGGCTCTCTTTCCAGAAAGGAATTACATATCTGCTTTTATTTATGCCACAAGACATGGGTATTATTTTTTAAGCAGAAGAGTCAACCGACAGACTTGAAAATTTAAAACCAAAAGTTGACTGTCTCCTCCACTATTAAATATGAGTTACTCCACCAAAACCCAAACCTCAAACCCAAACATTCAAAAAACTAAAAAAAAAACCCCAAAAAATAATCCACCTCTCATCCCAAATGCCCACCAGAAGGGATGTGACAACCCATCCTGGTACCCGGCTCTCTGTCCGCTTCGGCACCGCATTTTCGTGCCCCAGGTCTGTGGTTTAAGCTGTGTTTCTGCCCCAGCTGCTGCAGCAGCTCTCACGGCCATGAGGCAAGGCTCAGGGCCCTGCTCTATGGGTCCATGCAGCTGGCAAGATGCAACAGCATAAAGCCTCATGTATTTGTAATTCAGCATTAAACGTGTTAGCGTCTGACATCCAGGAAACCCACAAACCCATTAAGAAAGTACCGCTTCCCATCTGAGACACGACGGGCATCATTCAAATCGAGGACATCCAGCTTTAAAAGAAGAAATGTAAAATTATTTCAACAGCTATATACATTCTGGCTTGACGTGGATGTTTTATTTCCCTAAACAACAATCCTCTGTCTGCTGACCTCTTTTGCAAAGAAATTCAGACAGGCGCTCCACTTCCTCCCCTGCCACATCCAGAGCATCACGTGCAGCCTTGGATTTTTTCAGTGCACGTAAGAATTGGCAAATCCCAACTCTCTCACATCCTTTTTCAAATACCCAAAAAAAGAACAAAAAACCTTACTCCCATTCTTCCAGCACCCTAATTAACTGACAGTTTCAAGACTGAAAGCATTAAGTAGCCCAGCCTCAGGAAAAGGGACTTCTTTGCACTTGGATCCCCCACAGCACTGAACTTCTTGTAGTCCTTTCCGGCAATCCACAACAGGCTCAGTTTTTAAGATGAAACACGCTTAAAGCAGCTTTTTGATGCTGAAGCTGGCCTCAGTGGCACAAGCATGTAAGAGGGAGAACAGTACCTGAATAAGCTGATAGGTGTTTAATTTTTAATCAGAGAAGGGTTCACTGGCACTTTTTATTTGAACAATTTTACTAGGACTTGGTAAGCTCGCGCATTAGTTCAAAATGTCAAATGTAAACTTAAATGAAAAATACTGTTATGTAGTAAAATCTTCTCAAAAAAAGAGATTTGCATTTATGAGGCACTGCTTAGCATAAAAACTTCTGCAGGGACTGGCTGAGACAGAGTCAGTAAGAACTGAAAAAGCTTTCTGGAGTCGTATGGTTATTCAAAAGCAAAATTTTAGATTGCCAGAGAACACCAAGACATCCTGACCCAGCAGCCGCTGCAGGAAAATTCCTCATCTATGTCCCATTCAGGCCCTGACCATCAGTTATACCTCACCCCTGCTCACTGAAGTCAGCAACGCTGGCTCCAGAAGGCGTGGGGTGCCCTGATGCAGAGAGCCAGCGGCACAAGAGCACAGGCCTCAGCTCTCCTGCCTCTGTTTTCTCAGGAAGATTGTTGGGAAGTGGGGAAGGAAAAAATGCAGTGGGGAAAAAGTACAACACAACAAAGTCCAACGGGAAGGAAAAGTCAAGACACAATGAAAAGCGCAAAGCAATCAGGAAAGAAGTTTTACCACCAATGCTAATATAGAAATACTTAATCCAAGATACATAAATCGGGGGGAAAACTTCTCAACATCAAATCTGCCTCCACCAAAATTAAGTTATTAATTCTGACTTCTCCTTCCCCCAGTTCTCCATACTTTCCATTTACAAACTAGTACCAGTGAGAGAGATTTGTCAAGGAATTCATACAAAGGGTGCCCAGAGGTGTATTCCAGCTACCAAGGCATCTGGATCCACTCCTTCCCTCATCCCCAAGAGACCAAACTGCTTCTGCTCTTTCTCCCCTCCCATAACTCCAAATTTTCACCTTAGCCAGTGCAATTTTCAGATAAAGAATTACTCATATAACTGAAATTATTAGCTTATTAAGACACATAAATCCGTTTTGAGAACGAAAATGAAATCTAGCAGCAAAAGTGATTACTTCTCAGGT